CTCTCATGGTGCCTTCGCATACATCTGATAAGAGAAATCGCCTCCCACTGCAGAGAAGAGGAAGAAAAATTCTCTCCAAAGGCTTAAAACCCAGAACTTGATGTCTCTCTTTCCCCCTTTCCCCGTCATTATCAAGATGGGTTAAAGTGTATGGAAATTTATCAATCTTTTTCATCATCCTTAAGGCTCCCAATGGAATGCAAGATTCGCAAGACTTTAGGGAGAGGATATTCTTTCGCATTTTTTTCTGGTCGCATACTTGGCAAATTAGAAATGAATAAATTAGATATACTTGAAAAGATTTTCTAAGATTTACTCTAGTAATTTACTATTCTCACAGCGTAAAGTTACAAATTGAAAAAGACAATAAAATTCACATAAATCTTTCTTTATGATAGAAGAGGAAGCACTTTCCTAGAATTCAACAAAAATTCAAGATTTATAGTGTCGTGCTTGTTGCCATGATGCTTGCCATAGATTGTTAGCCATGCACTACCATTGGAGACCAAACACTGAGCAGATGGACGCGCTTCTCCACTCAAAGGTTTAATTGCAGAGACAAAACAGTCATCGCCAGAGAGCAAATCTCACACCTCTTGAATGTGAATAATTATGAGAGGATGTCTCGTTGTGAAATTTCCATTTGTAGAGGAAAAGTGTGAATAATTGACGATGATATCAATCTCCCAGTTACAACAGAAAACACGGAATACATGATGAAGAGAAATTGTGGCAGTGAGAGAAGGGCACTGGCGAAAGTGGGAATGGGTGGCAAGAAAAAGTGTATTTCAGAGAGACGGGAAAATTTATTCTAACGAGTGGAATAATGCCCCTCGTGGGGGTTCATCACCACCTCCCGTCGTCAACAGAGTGCCAGTGGACGCACAAATAATCGGAAAAGTGTCACAATAACGTGTGGCAATGATAAATTGAGCCGGATTTCTTTAACTCAGGCCGTCCGTTGCGTGATGAGAAGATATCGGAATGCCCGTCTGATGTGACTCATTTCCCTTTCTTGAGGCCACTGGAAGAAAAAAAACCGCCCCGACGAGTCTCCGTGGACGGGAAAAAGTGTGGATGGCAATTTTTTTCTTCACTCCCTTGAATTGATTCCAATGTGTCTGACATTGAGTCGTCGCTGTGGATTGTGCCAGTGAGGAAAGTTTTGCTTGCTCTTCACCATGCAAGTCTCATAGTGAGAGGATATCGAGAAGATCGAACTTGCCATTTGAGATTGTAAAATTCAGCATGGCAAGTGGGAGGAAAAATTCAATAAAATTATGTGAGCGGCGTTTGGAATATTTGCAATTCTATCGCATCATTTCCCGTTCACCGAATCACAAAAATACATAAAATGCTCCAACCATTCAACGCGGGTAAGAAGATCAACTTTTCCTGTGCGCCACCATCCCCGGCTTTTCACGAGACATCGCACTTTTACAACTTTCTTCCTCATCCGTTGCATGTGAATTGGAGTAAATTTTTCATCTAAAACGACAGAAGCCCTCAAGTTTGCTATATTTGATTGTATTTTGCATTTAGTCGTGCGCCATCAAATAAGACAAATTCCCATTTCTTCTGGATGACTTCGTGCCCATGTCAAGATGTTTCTCTATTCATTTTTCTGTCATCCGACAGATATATGATAAATTCTCTTCCCCCACCCTCCATGCCTCACACTATTCTCCACAAGACAGTTCGGCAAACTATTCATGGCAGACAGAGTGTTTATCATTTCCTCTTTGAGCATCGGCGGAAGATCATCGGTAGCAAGTATGCAAATTTCTGAGACATTTTTCACAAAGTTTCTTGTGTAAAGTTTCGCGGAAGAAAGATATTCTACAGAAGACGAAAGATTTCCTAAGAGAATTATCCCATTATAAATAGGCTGATAAATTTAAATATGTTTTCTGGATTCTCATGCGGTGTTCTATAATTGCAAAACTTGCCATAACCTTATCCATCATGTGAAAATTCAATGCTTTTTTTCCTTCCTAAAAAGCAAAAGCATATTCAACACTCTCTGCAGGGGGTCTAAAAATAGGGTGAAATTGTATTTGGCTCTATTGACGTGTGTCAATTTCTCATGCAGAGACGTCCATTCCATGCCTGCACGGGAGTTGATGTAAATGCGCCTAAAGTGTGAATTATTTTGATAGTCGAGAGTGTGATGCGAGGATAAAGCACTCACTCTCACTTCACATGGTGATTAATCTAAATTGCTGAGGAATTAATTCTTTCGGATATCCCATCTCTCACTTACCAGATGAAAATGGGCAAAAAGAAATGAAGAAAATGAGCATTGCTCATTTAGTCAAAAGCACAAATTCACACCCATTGACTTTTCGGGGTGGGAGGGGAAGAGAAGGCGAGGCAAATGCGGGGAGCAGCGACCAGAAAATGGCTCATTTATCATCACGTAGAGAGCACTCTTCCCCCCATCTCACTATGAGCCTATGTTGCCCCGACAGTGCATACAATCATTATTCCTCCGCACTTGGGATTCAATTTGCTTGATAAAAAGTCACTTCACATTTACATTTTCATCAATCCACAAGTCCCTCCAACACCCAGTGTTAATCTGGCAAAAATCAAATTTATTCCACTAACCCGGCACACAAGTAGCACGATTATGTTCATTTTCTCTCCTCTGTATGGAGCATAAATTAAAGTGCGTGGAAGACTTTGGCTCTGGACCGCTTCCAGCATCGCTTCTGCGACTGTCACTATCACAGATAGGGACTTCTGTTTACTCTCCCAAAATACTATCTGCGATTCACCTATCCGCCCACCGACATCCCACGAGTGACATTTTCTGTGAGACACCGTGTGATTTCTGCCACAATCCATGGAGTCATGACTCCATAAATCTCGCACAACAACCATTAATGTGTGTTAAAGAGCGCCTAATCACCTGGGAGAGGCAATTGAATTTCTTCACCTCCAGCTCGCGCCAATTTCCTCATTAGCCAATTTCGGTATGCAAACGTCTCTCCACCATTTTCACACCACTCATAAATTCTTAGTCATCCAAATTCACACGCCAAATTATGGCCAACACAGAACCGGAGGCTCCCGAAAGGCCCACAGAGTAATTGAATGATGTTGAGCGCGGTTGATGATAATTACAATATTGAATTCCCCGGCACTATCATCCTGAAATATTTCCTCGCGGTTCATCGTCATTCAGCGGGCACATTGGCGGATGAGCGAGGGCTTAATTTATAAATGAGTGGAGGTTTTCAGTTGATTGGTGCTGTGATTCAATTGATGATGAGCCATGTCTTCGGAATCATCGAAAATTGCACGCCTTTCAATCAAATTCCACCCTTATTTCACATTCAAAACGATAATTGATTGATTCGTGGCTGACTGATGGTGAATATTGGTCACATAGCGAATGTTTTATTCCAAATCCGTTCCGATTTGGTTACACCACAGAAAATATAACTCTTTTCAATCACCATTTGACCACTTAATTCGATTACTGTAATTTCACCTGGCAATGGAGTGCCAAGACTGTGAAGTGATTAACACAGAGAATGCCAAATTATCCGTGAAATTTCTCGCGGATTTCTGCAAAAATCTATTGGGTCATTAGTGCAGACTTTGAGATGAAATCTGGTGCGCGGAAGAAGTGTATTGAATGAGAAATTTTGCGCAAGAGAAGTGTTTCAAAGGCCCCCCGCCGCCGCCCCGTCAAATGATGCAGTGAATTTGCGGGAAGCACGAAAAAGTAATATTGGGGCTTTGCGTGCTAAAATATCCAACTTGAAACTGCATATCAGCAGGAAGAGTAATAAGAAAATTACACGTGCTCCACTCTGAGTCCGATACACCTCAATATTTCAATTTAGTATAAATCACCGTCCCTATTGAGGAAATTTCTCATGTAACAACACTGATACTTGATGTCATAAAATAAATTATTAGCCATTTTAGGTGGGGACTCCACAGACCCATTGAGCTCCTGCTTGATGCTACCTTGCCGTGTATTTGGTAGGGGAAAGCAGGTCTAAATTCATGTCACTGGGCAATTGGGGAGGAATTTGTGGTTGTCTATTATTCGTCGTTGTTCGATGGGAATCTCCATGGAATAATTTGAGAGATCTTTTCATGGGGATTTTGTGGGATATTTCAGTCACTGGCACCGAGAGAAGATGATATTGAACTGCAAGGTGAGAACATCACTGAATTGGCGTGAACGAGATGAATATTTCGTGTGCAAAGATATTCTATATTCTCATTTCTTACCACCACGCCGTCTGGCTATCAGATGGAGGTGGCTGTGAGGCAAGGAGTGCGACAACAATTGAATATTGTAATATCCATGATGTCTGAATGAGATGCTTCGCGCACGATATCGGGGGAGGGTGTGAGGAATAGAGAGAATTTACCTGAAGAGTCGCCCAATATTTTGTGCTCGCGTGTTACATGTTCATAAGAAGGCACAAAAGGAGAAGAGGAAATGATTTAATGGAATTGTTTCTAAACCGTTTTTCAGTTACTTAATACTAAGTATGCCTCTATGGAAGTATGCCATATCACTTCTCGGAATGTTCTTCAGGGAGCGCGGCAAAGTGTAATTAAGCAAAAAGTCTACAGAGAACTCCTCTCAGTTAATGTTTGTACAGCAAAGTGCAAGAAATGTCAGAGCACTCGAGACAAGATTAATCTGCGAAATTCGTGATTTTTTCCCCCCCATCTTGAACCATAATTTGCAACAGAGTTCGCACAACTAAATCTGCGGATGCGAAACATTGTTTCAACAGTGTTGCTTTTTATGTGCCAATATTTCTTGAGCGGCACTGTACGTGGCAAAAAGCACCTCTATATTGTAATTGCGTCTGCTATGGAAGTATAAATTGGAGGCTTGAGCTTGGGAGGATGAGGGCTGTGGTCTGGGAGAGCAACATGTTGGAAGTGGAGTGCAGTGGTAAAAATGATTGACGGAATCCCAGCAAAGGTCTGATGCATGAAATCAATTAACGAGAACTCACATTTACAATCGCCAACTCAAATAGCAGATTGGACTATGCTGCATTTTCCTTGGTTGCCTCTCATCCAACTGTAATTATACAATAAAACGGGAAAAAGTTTTTGATTAATTTTCATTCATCCACAAAATTCATTCACATGGCTTGCAAAATTCCCCTGCAGAGTCATTCACTGGTTCTCTGACATTTTTCATAGTGTAGAAGAGATAAATTTAATATATGGAATTTCGTTGAAAATTCTTCCGTTCATAAATAATGACATAACATTGAAAATAGAACTAAAATGCGGTAATATATCATACAAATGAATTGCAAAACCAAATATACAGTGGCTTACTTCTAATTTAGCCCACCAACTATTGTGACTGCGTTGGAACAGAGACTGAACACCATAGTTCAACCCCAAATCTTCCATATCCACATTTCCGGACACACTATTTCGTCCACCCTCCACAGACGGTGTGAGCATGTAGAGAACAGAGTGAGAAAAACACACACACTCTTCCCATCCCGAGAGTCAATTCCTTCCACTATATTGTACGTCGGAAATTCAGACGCTGGAAGTCAGTCGCCCAAAATGTATTCAGTCTTTTCTCTCCATAAATTAGATTGAATGGGAAATTTATTGGAAGCAATTATACTACGTAAACACACATTCAAGTGTAATTTGTTGCCTATTTTTTCACTGATTTCTTCTGCCCATTGTTAGCCAGACGACTCGGCTCAATACATCCACCCCCACAAGTGGCTGCGTGGTGTGAGGGTGCTCACATTTGTCTGCTGCAGGATATTAAATTGATTCAGCTTTGCAACTTTTTCCCACATAATAAGGAATATGAGACCAGAGAAGAAGGGTACTTGGAGCTCAATCGAATAGAATGATCAATTCCATTTGGGAAATTAGAATGTGGTTTGCGGATGTTCATTGATTGTGCTCAACTAAAGGCTTTATTGAGACTCCCTCGTCAAAAGGCATGAGATAAATTATTTAGGAAAGATTTCAGCATGAGGGTTTCAGGAAGTCAAGATTGTCTGGCTCTGCCTTGAGTCAAATGTGAAAAAAATAAGGGTTCTCTCTCACAGTGAATCAATTCAGTACAAAAAGAGTTTAATTAGTGTGAAAAATTCCATGAATATCAAATCGAAAATGAAGTTCAAACATAAGAAAGTTTCGTAAATATCGATAGAGAGTTGTCGGGAATCAATTACTCTGCAGTAATTTCAATTAAATATCGTTCTTTCACATGTACTTTTCCATTAGCCACAATTCCACTCGCCTCTGTACCGAAGTGAATACTGACGAGGGTAGTTTCGTCTGGGTGGAAATTGCAGTCATCATAATTCGTCAGTCGCGAGTCTGTGGCTGGCTTACCAAACACGTGTCACTCGCTAATGGAACGGGGGTTGTACAACTGTAATTCAATCAACCCCTTTAGCGCAGCGCTGATCTGCAACAATGGTGGTGGAGACGCCTCAAAGAAACCAGACACAACAGCCCGACCACCCTGAGACTTCTCCCTTAGTCGTGGAGATAATAAATGGTACGTCATCGTGCAGTGGAGCCGGAGCACTCATTTTTCAATTGGCCCGTCATCATTTTTCAGGCAACAAACAATTGTGTGGATTGCATTGTACCCCCTTTGTTCACCCAGAAGACAGCGTCGTCATCCACGCTGTGCTGTCTCTGTCACCACAAATTCTAACCCTTCTGTGAAGTGTTCTTGGACGCAAAATGGCATCGAGGGTGCTCTTCACTGCTGCACTCAACACCAGCTGATACTTGTTTATAAACTCCCAAAAATTCTCAAGCACGTTCCTAAATTTACATAACTTTTGTTGGAAATGAAAAAGATCAAGCTTATTCAGCAGCTTTCACAGAAAAAGTCAGAAGAAAAAGAAAATTAATCAGCAAATTCATCAAAATTTCAGGCAAAATGGTGAGTTCTCGTCGGTTTTAGAGAGTGTTTCGGCTCATTTAACGCCACTCACCATGCAATTTAACAGTCATTTAAGGTAATGTCCTAAGCTCTTGTCTCACGAGCGTTCCACATATGAACTGAAGGACAGGTGTTCCTCGCTTTCTGCCATTCATTTAGCATGAGTTAATAATTAATCTGGCCAAGCACAAATATCTCTCAAGTTACACGCTCTCTAGTATTCAGCACTGAAAATAGGAACAGCTTCAATTATGCTCTTCAACAGTTCCACCTTAATCTGATGCCTCTTTCGCTCTAAAGCATCTCCATTTGCGAATCCTTTTGACCCACACCCACCCAAGATCACCACATGTGTTGAGTAGAGACGATGAAATCCTTTTAGTATCGATCCCATTCCAATTGATTGACCTGGAAAAAATTATCGAGGCTTTTCCGAAAGGGATTCTATTTATATATCAAATATCTCACTGAATAAATCATCTGTATACTGTTTCTTCCCGGTGTGGAATGGAAGCTTATCGTGGTTGGAGAAGGCAAAAAAGTGGCGAGAGCTTTTCTCTTCATCCCCCGAAAAAACTTCACACACGAGCTCGCCAGAGTTGAATTTTTCCTCCTCTGAAAACTTTTCTTCGATACATGGAAAGAACTTGGAGATTAAACTTATTTGTATTTGTCTCTCCTGCGCTAGTTCGACCCCAAAATATATTACCCTTCTGAGAGTGAAGTATTTACCACTCTTCGTACCAAAATGCCAAACATCTCGGGCTTTTGAGCCTCGTGGGCACACAAAGAGGTCTCCCAAGGAGAGTCACACACAAACACACACACACATATGAGACATCACACAGCATAAATACCATATTTATATGCACTCGATGGAAGTTTGCTCAAGAGTTTTGCTGTGCGACCAAGTGAAAAATAGTGTTTCTTGCATAGACTCCTTATTGGATTATTTATGAAAATTGGTGAAAAATTTATTAGAGAACTTTGTAAGCTTAAAAGCAGCTGCACACTGTCTGTACTGCACTTTTTCAGGTCAGTTGGTTCACTAAAAATTAACCCCTTTCACCACTACACTCTCCATTCAACCCTCTTCCGCCACAGCGAGGAGGCCATAAAGTTGCAAAGTGATGGTATTGATATAATTAGATGTATTTCATGACGGGGAGCTTTGTGTGTACTTTAGAAGTTAACTCAGGATATTTGCGTACACATTATTTCTCTAATTAGAGTAAAAATGGCATATTCCGTTTGCCTAGCCATTCATTCTTATCATGCATTATTCCAATTCACTTTATTCCCCAGTGAATCTCATTAAAAAGGAAAATACTATGATATCGAAGCATTGTGCTGACCGCCGAATCATGAGTTTCTTTGTTGAAATTGAAATTTTAAAAATATTCAAATAGTGTGCATGAACACATGAAACGGGATTTCACACAACATAAAATTCTCAAATGGCCAAGGAATTGAATTACGGGCACCGTGAAGTGAACTTTGACATCGACTCTCCGACAAGTCTCGTCCAGTGGACATTCAGTGGAACATTCCATCTCGGCGAAATGAACCATTTTCCAAAAGCCATGCAAATGCACATGACGTGACTATGAGCCATAAGGTAAAATTTAATTGTTGAATATTTGTTCTCTGTGTGTGGATTATAAGTGCCCAGTGTGCATATGTGTGTGGAGTTAATGTGTAATTACAGTCTGAGTGTTTTTATACCATCCACTTGAACACACAGGATTTTATCCTCAGCCCTCACTGACCATCGTTAACACTCAGTGCTTTCGGACTGCAGAAAATCATTTTACATAAACTTCATCATTTTTTCGCTTCCTGCCACTAGCATGTGAAACAGAATGGTTTTTTTTCTACAGTGCCACCCTTAAAAAATTCATAGCATATTTGCATGTTCAATGAAGTTCTAAGTCAGTTGAAAACATGTAATCAACTTAAATACATCGTGCGAAAAAGGGTGAGAAAAGGCGGGGAATTTACGGCCAGTGAAAGGCACAAAGTTAATTTCTCTGATCGATATTAATCACCCCATTTAGGATCCCTTTGACTGCATATGCTTCACTATGCGTACTTCAGTCAATATGCTGAATCGAGACAGTATTACTACATTAAAGCATCAACTATGCCAGCATCAATTATTAGAAATTGCAATAACGCAGTTTTATGATGAAAGTGAGACATTTTGCCATCGATTGCGCCTGGAGTCCTTCAAAAGCACCATCAATTGCGTGCTTTTACGCAAACATTGCACGCTGAATTGCACGGGAAAAAGCAAATACAATATGTATAGTGTGGAAAATAAAAAAGAACTTATTGTATCAAAATGGAATTTTATGCACAACTTAACACATAACACCCACCCATAAAGAACACAATGAAATGCGAATCCCCACGCAAATCCTCTTTCATTCGCACATTCGTATATGCTACAGATTTTATTGGGGATTGAAATCACTGGCGGGATGCAATAAAAGCTTTATTAACACTTTTCACTAATTAAATGGGAATTTATGATGCCAGAGGCGGGGTGAAATTATGAAAGTTGCCAGCGAGAGAGATAAAAAGTTGAGAATTTAGTGATACGAGCCTTTGAAGTGATGTATTTAGATTAGTTGTTTCAATTTGTGTATTCAAACTCAAACTGTGTATTGGAAGTGTGATGCTGAAATGAGATATAGGCAAATTAGCTGAATTCCTGAGAGCTCCTGAATAGCCTCCAGTCCCAATAGTGATACATTGTTAGGGTCAGAGCTTATGTGGGCAGAGTGTTGGGCGTTTGGAGACCCAACTTGACCCCGATTTCACCTTAGCAACAAGATAGAGGTGTTCACCCGAGCGACGATGGCCTCTTGGTGGACTTTTACCCCCGCCGAGGGACTCCTTATGAATATTTGGTTATAAGTTATGTGACATGTTTATTGTTCAAGAGGCCGAGGATGACCAAAACGGGAAGGAGAGTAAAAAAAAAACTTAGAAAAGCTTCATGGCCAATATTTATATCGCCCTCTCGACATTCATTTCAATCGAGTCCCCGCGCCATCCTCCTTGTTATATCCTTTTGGCGACTTTTACGACGCCTCGGCAAACTACCGAAAGAGATCGCAGTATATTTT